CTGTGGTAAACGTCTAAAGTTTTTGTTTTTGATTTTGCTTCATCTAAATTATCGACACATTCAGTAAAAAAGAGAGACTCATGGAGACACTGCGTGGATTAGAAATTAACAGTTGAATCAAAATAATTTATTACGTTCAGGTTGTTTATCAATTTTCAATAGTGGATTTAAATTTAAAAAAACATCTGGAAAGTATTTTGTTTTCAATATTTCTCGGCTCTGGTCAAGAATATTACAACTATTACTACTTACAACTACTTGAATGTCATTTTTAAAGACCTGAACTTCAGAATTTTTTCTATAATACATAAGCATCCACAGAACAGATCAATCACTGAGCGGCACGGTGGAACAGCGGTTAGAGTTTGCATGTTCTGCATAGGTTTCCTCCAGGTGCTCCGGTTTCCCCTTCTACTAAAAACTTTTACAATAGTTCAGGGTGAATGAGTGAGTGTTTGTGAGTGTGTCTGTGGATCAATGGATGCAAATTAGACCAAGGCTACAATCTGGAGATGTGTGTTCATTAACATGCACTTTCCCAACCAAAACAAACAATAAATATATAAATAAATATATAAAATAGATACTCAGTAGATTGCTCATCCCTAATCAAAACCATTACATGTTTATACTACTACTACTACTATACTACTATACCATTAGTTGTACTTGATTGGCTTCTATATAAGTATTGATTTTTAAACGTGAAGCCTGAAACATACCCTAACTTGGATCTTGACATTGATATATTAAAAAGGTTTTTGCTTTTCCTCTGTCTGTTGTAGTTAATGTAGTCTGTTTTTGGCACCGACAGTCGATCCCATAGATTTACAGTCTTCTCAAATGTAAGAGATCGTTGTCGTTCTCGCTGTTGATCTGAGGGTAATTGAAGTAATTGGTCTGAAGTCGGTTTGTGAAATGTCACTGAGACCTGACCTCATGTTGTTCAGACGGCAGGAAACTGCTGCACTCTCACTGTTGTTAGCAGTAAAACCATTTTCACATTTCAAAGGGCACAGAACAACATGCGATTGAATGAAAATGGGGCAGCGGTGAAGCTGGTCATGCCATTTATAGCTCCATAATTTGGATCATAAAAAATAAAGTAACCACAGGCTGTAACCGTCGTCTGGAGTGACTGGGGAAAAGGTCAGAGAAGCCTCGTAAAACATCCGTCCAATTTGACCAATAAACTCTGAACCAGAAACGATTAATGCACTTATTCAGAGGTGAAAAACTAACCTTCTCAAATGCTTTTCTGATTAAAGGTGCTCTGTGTGACTTTGCTGTCACGTTCCGCAGTTTGGCCTGTTTCATGTATTTTATGGTTAAAAAACACCTCATTACTATTAGTTATATTTGAATATGTTTGTATTATCAGAATTAAAGAGGTCGTCTTTCCCGAGATCTGACCCGTAACTTATTCTAATGTCCCCAAAGGCTCGTCTCCTTTGAAAGGGAGAAGTTAAATGTCAAAGTATAACTCGGGATTCACAGTCCAGCTTTCCATGCCGATACCAATTGGCTTTTCATCCACTTTCTTTGACTTTTTTCTGGCAGCAGACGTCCCTCTCCACATAAACTCTCCAGCTCATCCGGGGGAATCCTGAGGCATTCCCGAGCCAGCTGAGATAGCCCCTCAACTGGTCTCCTGGGTCTCTCCGGGATCTCCTCCTACACTTTGGCTTTCAATATCTTTCAATTACAGACATAAGTCGTTACCGTGAAGCGACTGAAAATAGCGGGATCTGTCATTGATCTGTCATTGATGATTCGATAACTTTGTAAATTAGGGCTGTAAATTGTGATTTAGGGCTAAACAAAAATACATATAATTGTAACTGAATACAAACGAAAAAGATATGGTAGAAAGGGTTGAGTGATGAGGGATTTTATCTTTTCTCTTTTTAATGTAGTGTGATTATTTATAATTTTAATGCCTTGTGTCTGTCTCTGTCTTATTTTGTTCAGCACTTTAAGTTGCCTTGTTTATGAATTGTGCAATACAAATAAACTTGCCTTGCCTCGTCGTGATGGGACTGATTGGACAGCAGAAAGGGGCAGTGCTGGAGAAATCCTAGAAGTCATTGCAATTGCAGGAAAATAGCTATGAAAAAGTTATAAAGTCGCACAGAAGAGCAACAGAAGAGCAGCCGTAATGTTTACTACCATTGCTTTTTGAATTGCGCTGATGACTGACAGCGTTTTTGACCTTGCGGTTGGAAAGTCTGGTGAAGGAGCTTAATCAGACAGCTGAGTGGCAGAGGCGCGTGACCTTTCTGTTTGGATGATGTCCAGAAAACAGAAGTGGGAAAATCTGCCACGCTTTTCCTCAATTTATATGGTTGTGTTATCACTGATGGAGAAGGTCTGTCAGTGCGTGAAATACTGATGTCTATAAGGTGAGCGCTCTCTGTATCTCTCTGTATGCCAGACTCCAGCTTGTGATGTCTCTCTATGTTTCCTTTCGTTTGCGTGAAGGACTGCTGGGGTCCAACGAATTTGCCAAAATATAAACATTCTGACTGCTCTGGAATCTGCTATTTCTGTTTCACTAGTTTTTTTAAAAGTTTTTCAAAGTGCCCCACAGCATTAAAGAGATTACGTTTACAGATAGTACTTCATACTTGCTTCTTATCATGCCAAAAGTAGAGATTTTATACGTCTTTATTATGCTAAAGTCAGAGTTTTTTGTACTCATTATGCTAAAGATAGAAATGTTATACTTGTTTTCTCTTCATACTAGAGTTGGAGATTTGAATTTTTTTTAGTATAGATATATTTTTATTTTTTATTTCTTGCTGTGCTAGATTGATACATAGATACTTTATACTGGGCGACAGTGGCTCAGTTGGTAGAGCATTGGCCTTTAAGCGCGAAGGTCTTGGGTTCCAGGCCACCACGAGACCTTCTCCTCCAACTCCACTGATGTCTGCTGTCTTTGTGTCCTTGGGCAAGACACTTAACCCACTTTGCTTATATGGAGCGCGGAAGTGATGTTCGCTGCTTGCCTTGATGTGTATGCATCAAACTAAAATGTCCCCATTGTGGGACGAATAAAGGATCTTCTTCTTCATTGATATCCCTTAGGAGAATTTCTGGTGTCCAGCAGCAGAAGACTCTTTTTTCTTGTTTTACCGTCAGTCGGGTTTGTTGTACAGTCTGACAGCTGAAGGAACAAAGGATCTCTTGAAACGTTCCGTTCGGCAGCGTAGTGATAGAGCCTCTTGCTTCAGTTACTCCTCTGAGCGGCCATAGAGTCATGCTGTGTGCTCTGTGTACTGTTCTGTAACTTGTGATGCAACACAGAAATTTCCCCACTGTGGGACGAATGAAGGGTCTCTTTATCTTTACATAACACAGCTAATGCCAGATCATGTTTGGAGAGGTCTCATTGGAGTTGGTGCTTTTACACAAAAATTTATGTATGTATTATGTCGGTTTAGGATGTCTGTCTTTAGTCGTTCAGTCCAGAGGTTCCTAACTTTCCTAAACCACTTCTTAAAACTCACTTTTATCTTTTTACCGTCTGTTTTGAAATCTACATGTATTCACTTTTCCCCATTGTCTTTGTCTTTCTTGTTGTGTGTCTGCTTTAATCTCCTGTTATGTTTTTATTGCTTATGTTGAATGTTCAGCGCTTTGTAAACACTGTTTTTGAAAAGTGCTATACAAATTAAGATAAATTATTATTAATATTATTATTCTTTGCCCTGCGTACCACCTCGCCAATATAACCAGTTCTTAAGGAAAATAAAATGAAAATCTTTCACAAACCCCAGGGTCGTCCTAGTGATTTTAGTCCAGAGCCACTTAAAGAAACATTGATTGGAGGCTACACATTGTTAGTCTGTTCCACCGAGGTTTTCAGCTCATCTTTTGCAACTGATGTATGTGTTTTTATTACATTATGTAGGGATTTGAACCAAATTATAGCTTTTATTTCACTTGATGATCGGACTGAACCAAAACTAGGCCGAAAGGATCAGTTTGCAATAACTAGCCTAAGTATTATAACTAATTGCATCATGTTTTCAATATTTATCATTGAAAAAAAAAAAAGTAAGCTGTTGCGCAGTGGTTTGTGCTTGCGCCTCACAGAAAGAAGGTCCTGTGTTCAATTCTACCTCCCGGCCTTTCTGTGTGGAGTTTGCATGTTTCTCCCAGTGTCTGTGTACGTTTCCTCCGGGTGCTCCGGTTTTCCCTACTACTAAAACTGTTTTAAGGCGGCACGGACGTTGGCTGAGTGGATAGCGCTCTCCCCTCTCAGCAAGAAGATTCTGGGTTTGAATCCTGGTTGGAACAGGGCCTTTCTGAGTGGAGTTTGCATGTTCTCCCCGTGTCTGTAGGTTTCCTCCGGGTGCCCCGGTTTCCCCTACCACAGAAAAATAGTTCAGGGTCAGAGAGTGTGTGTTTGTGAATGTGGAACAACTGATGGAAATTAGCCCATGGCTCCAATCCAGAGTGATGTGTTCATTAACTGTCCCAACCTAAGAAACAATAAATAAATAAGTGAGAGACATATGCCCACAACTGCAAATTGCTTTGTAATTCTGGTCTGCAAAAGGCGCTATATAAATAAAGATTGCATAATTACTTAGGTTTGAAATAATGTCTAAACATGTCTTGGTAGCCCATATGCACCTCATTCTCTCTGTCTGCAATGTCTGCAAGTTCATATTTATACTTGGAAATCTTTTCAATTGCCTGCAATACCAATGTGTACCTCTAGGAGTCTACACACCCCTGGTTGGCAAACACTGGTTTAATGAATGTGTCTGTATAAAAATGTCCTTGTTCTCTTATTTCTTATTTTCTCCTTTGTTATGATATTTTTTAATTAGTGATAGTCGAGGGTCGCCTTGTCTGTGTCCAATTTCACTTAATTTCATCACGATACCAGCACTTCTAACCTGTGAATGAATTAATAATAGCATTACCCCGGCCTTCAGACCCCACCCTGACAGCCCCAAAGGGAGTGCACGTGTGGGGCAGCTTTCATGGAGCCCGCGTCCCAGTTTAGAACGGTCCAAAACAGACCTGAGACAGCGGGAGGCCATCAGTGGAGAGTCTCTCTGTGGGGTCGCCCAGTGGGAGAGGCCAGAGGACAGGGGGGGGGGGCATATGGAGAACAGCGCCCGGGTGCCCCTGACCAGCTGTGCTCCCCTCCACATCTGTCAGACCCCCGCCTCTCTGCATCTGATTAACTATTTGCGTCTCACTTCTGTAATCAGCCACCCACCTCCGCTGCTTCCTCTGTCACTGCACTGCACAGTTATATTATTCTATAATTGTTGATAAGGCCAGGCCAGGCGAGTTTTTTTATATAGCACAGTTCATACACAAGGCAACTCAAAAGTGCTGAACAAAACAATACAGAGACGGCCACAAAAGGCATTAAAATGATAAATAATCACAGTAAATGAAAAATAGTTAAAATGCATCCATCAGTTGTATACACAGCTAAATAAATCTGAAATATCTATTGTGTTATGGAAGTTTTTATGACAACAATTGTGCAGTAAAAAGAGAGTTCCTAGTTTCTTCTTCCTAAGTAAATTACTAAAGTAAATTCATGTCTTTGGGTCGAAGTTAGACCATTTGTTTTGTCTGTATCTTTACCTACTGAAAAATTGCAAGCTAGTTTAGTTAGCTTTAGATGGAGGATATGAAGCGTGTTGGGAAGAAGTTGTGAAATTGCAAGGGATTGGAACCAAAGCTAACTGTTTTTAATTTAAGAGATTACAGGTTTGACAGATCCATTGGTTATATGATTTAAATTTAACTATTATTCATTAGCTAATTACCGTATTATTATTAGTCTTTTTTGTCCTTCTGACATACATTTTCAAATTTCATAGATCGCAGACAACATCACCCATAGTGTTGGTCTTATCATGATAGAGGACGATGAGAGCTAACTCAACCAGGTTCCATGGGCGGGAATCTGTTGCCAAATTTGTGGGTAGCAATGGGCCTAACAACCAGAGAGCCAATCAGGAGCAGCGCTGGTCGGGTCATGGGAAACAAGATCAGATGGTCAGTTGTTAGGGGACACATTTGAATTTGCAAAGACATTATCAAAAAATATGAACGCCAGGATCTTACAGAGCCTTAAACCAAACACAAACGGTTACAGAGTAAGAGGAGTTTCCTTTTCAATTTGAATGGAACCAAACAAGTAGGGGCTAAACTTTGTCCATGCACTTTCCTAATAGGATAGATAGGGCTCGCGAGTTAGCTCTATTCATTCATACAAACTGTCGTCGATAGGTTTTCAATACTCCCGACCGATAAAAGGTTGGTCCAATTATATATCTCAAAACTGGGAACGCAAAACTCCAAGATGGCGGCCGCTGCATATATGAGAGTTTTTTTTTTTACACATTACCTCCACTGTTTGTACACTTCCTTCTTTTTGTTGTGTTTTGTTTTTGGCAACAACTTCCGGTTCCCTCTGATTGGCTGTCTTGCTGTCCACTCATATGCAAGCCAATTTTCAGCTCATGAAATTGGCTGCTTGGGGCGGAGATCCAGACCCTCACGTATTTGAAAATAATGATTTTAAAATGGTGTGGTTCTGGCTGAGCAGGCAACCAAATTACTGGCCCCATTCAGCCTCAAACACATTTTTACCAACTTCAGCTGTATCTATTAAAAATTATCTCCCAGTAAAAAATACAAGATGAGGGCTGGGCCATTTCCCACTTGGAATGGGGAATATAGTTACCACAATTTCCCACAATAGCACATGAAGGCAGCATGAAATAACGCATTTATTTTATTTGTTTATTTGTTTGGGTCAAAGCATGTTAATGAAAATATCTCTTCAGTTTGTTGCCATGGACTAATTCGTTTACAATTGATACAATGCTCGGTTGCAATAATATTGTCTGTATGTATGGTACAGTATGTAAAAGGGCGGCATAGTAGGGCGGGATGGTCCAGCAGCATGGTACGGCGGGATGGTATGGCAGCATTGTTACATTTGTGATTCAGAGCAAGCAGGTCCTGGGTTCTATTCCACCTCCAGACCTTTCTGTGTGGAGTTGCATGTTCTCCCTGTTTCTGCGTTGGTTTCCTCCAGGTGCTCCCTACCACCAAAAACATGTATAATTGTCCCCATGCAAAAGCCTCCCTGACCCAAGCCCACGCTCCCTCTCTGAAATCCAAGTGAAATGTTTACTGGTTAAATAATGGTCAAATAAAATAAATCATTTTAACAAACACATTGGAACAAAATATGATTGTTGCTGTATTTAGACTTTTATCAAGCAATTGCCTTCACGTCTGTGACTGGATGCTATATTTCACTTTACATCAGGCCCTGTCGCACATCCTCTCTCTCTTTCTCTCTTGCTCTCCCTTTTTCCCGCTCTCTCTCTGCTCAGACAAAAACAGCAGCTCCCCTCCCCCTCCTCCTTATCCCAGAAAAATAGTCTGGGTGCTCATGCCTTCAAAGTGCCTGCGGAAAGCCTGGCCCAAGCAGTCTCTCACTTCTGCAGTGTGTAATAGGCAGACGCTGGAGCAAAACAACTCTTCCCAATTTGCTCAGTGTGTCTTGTTTCAGGAAATTGCAGCTTTACGTGCCTTTTTTTCCCCCTCCTCCTCCTTCTCCTCTTCTTGCGCTTCCCCTGGACTTGTTTATTATTTGGGGGGAAATGTGGCTCTCGGTATTACATGTGTTGTGGCCATGAAAAGCGTTTAATAGATAGCATCTCCAGACATTTCTCAACGCTCCTCTCACTGTTCAGTATCTGTCCCCAAAGTCATTGCCGTTCGCTCGTTTGTCTTGTACCGCACAGAAAGCCCTTTGTTTTTTCGCCGTGTTTGCGGAGGTAGCGTCCTCTCCGCCGCCGTTGTTCTCCGTCTAGCCCGGAGGCAGCGAGACAGAGAAGCGAAAGATGAGGAGAAGCCGATTAGTATGCATCTAATTGTAACGGAAACGCCATCTCGCACTGGCAATTGTCTCCTCTGTGAGCGTGTTCGGATCCAGCATAAAGACGTAATTCCCCTAATGTGTGATATTTGTAACGCTGTCTTTTCTTGGCAGCGGTGTAGGGTTGGCAAATGGCACTGGCTCTGAAGGGAAAGGGCCCGTGCACACGATCCATCACCAGTGCCAGGCCTCAGTCCACATGAGCCCACATCCAAAGTCTTTCTGTGGGGCTGGAGGGGACAGAGGAGGCTTTGGATGTCTGCGGACAATGGGACAATAGTGGACGGGTTTCTATGAGCGCTTGTGTCATGGGCTGTATTCTTTTGGTGGTATTAAATGTCTATTGTGTGTATTTATGTATTTTATATTATTTTTTTCTGGATGCTTTTTTATACATATATTTTTTACTTACCATCTATTTATATCTCTTAGCAAATGCATATTCCAAGTTTGGCACTTCCTGTTACTTACAACAGTACAACAACAATACAACAATACAAATCTTTCTGAATCTTTTGTTTGGGATAAGAAGTGGTTTTTTTAACATTAAGAGATCTGTTATTGGTCCCAAAGTGGGGAAATTTCAGTATTGCATCACACTGAAAGTTACAGAATAGTAGGAATGAGGAACACACAGCACAAAATAAGTGAACAATAGCTATACTAATTAAAATAAAACAAAATCTTTGACTCTAGCATCAAAGAACGAGTATAAAATATCTATCTTGAACATAATAACAACAAAGAAGTATAAAAATTGTACTTCTTCGATTTGAGTTTGATGTCTGTACATCGTTGTCAGCACGGATTTGTCAAATTCAGAAATGAAAATATCGTTCAAAAGTTTATGTAATTCTGTAATTTACAGTAACTTGAACATATCGATAATGTGAAATCGAGATATTACATTGACTCAATACTTGCAAAGTGATTTATTGCAAGCCTTTGCATGTTATAGTGTTGATGATTTTCAAAATAATCTAATTTACTGAGATGACAGACTCTGGGTTTTTACAGCTCTGAGCCAATTACATCCCCAAAACCATCCCCATCCCCCAATACTTAAACCTCTCAACAAAACTTTCTAAACCACTCTCAACTCTCTTATCTTTTCTCCTTTCCATAAACATCCTCCTATATAAACAACTTTTCCTCAACCACCCTACCCTCCATTACATATTCTAAACATTTTAATTTAAACCATTCCTAATCTTTCATTCCCACTCCCCCCCCTTATTCTCTTCACTCTTCCTCATACCAACCCCTTTTCCTCATCCCCTTCCCCCATCTTCCTCATCTTTATTTTCCACCTAAACCACCCCCCCCTCCTTATACCTCCTTCCCCATAAACAAATTAAATATCATTTCTTACCCTCATTCTCTATCCCTCCTCAATTTTATATACTAAACACATAATTATCACCCTTTTACTACACTCCCCTAAAAACCCCATATTAAAACCATCCCCCATTCCCCACCCATCCCACATCCAATACACATCTAAACATTCCACCCAACAACAACCCTACCAAAACCACATATATAATATCCAACCTCCCATAACAATAATTCCCCCCCACTAACAACAACCATACAACCTCCACCCCCTCCCCTCCCACACCTATTAACCACACATCTTCCCCCCATCCCCCCTAACCTACCCTTCTTCCATTCCTCCCCTAACTCTCCTCTATCCTCAACCTTCCCCCCTCCCTCCCTATCCCTCCCATCCATCCCTAAACACCTAACACACACTATAACTTCACATCCCCTTCCCAACCACACTACACTCTACACCTTACATCATCTCCCCCCCCACCAAAACCAACTTAACAAATCCTACTCCTACAATCATACTACCATACCATAACCATCTCCTACCTTAACCAACCCCCCCACCCCTCCCCCCTTCCCCCCACCCCTTTCTAACCAATATCTTCTCCTACCCTCACTATAAACCACCCTTTCCACCTCAATCTCCTCTCTATACACCCCAATTCATACCCCTACCCCACCCCATATACAAATACACCTCCTCCCTCCCTTCCCACACATTTCATTCAAATTTCCAATCCCTACCTCCCCAATTCCCTCCCCTCCATAACTATTCCACCATCTCAATTCCACCCCATCTCCTATCATCCCCTAATCTTCTTTATTCCTCCATACCTATAAAATAACTCCTCCCCCCATCCCAACAAACTCCTACAATCATCCCCACCATATATACTACAACCAACACCCCCCTACACTCTCCATTCCCCACCTCCCTCCCATTCCTAATTTCCTTCCCCTCTCACCCTCCCTCACTTCCCCCTCAACCCCACCCACCCTTCACCCAAAAAATAAAATAAAAACTTCCCCAAACAACCTCCCCCACTCCCCACACCCACCCCCCCCCCCCTACATCTTCCACCCCACCCCCTCACTTTTTTCCTCTTCCACAACCACCCACCCAACCCAAACCCAAAACACCCAACCCCCCAACCCACCATCTCCCACTACCACCAACCCCCCCCTCACCATTTCCACCCCACTCTTACTAACATACCCTCAAAACAAAAACCTTCCAAACCATCTCACACCACACCAATCCAATAATCATTCACCCCTTTCCCTTCTTTAAAACAACCCACACCCCAACCCACCTATTTCATATACAATAATCACCCCCTCCCCCTAACCCCCTAACTCCATTTCATACACCCAATAACATACCCACCCCACACATCTCACATAACCCTTAATCCAAAACCAAATCTCAACCTCCCACAATCCCACCCACCCCCCCCCATATCTATACCCTCCCCATTTCCACCACCCCATCACACTATCACACAACCAATAACCCCCCATACCCCTCAACCCCAATACCCCAAACCCAATACACACTCCCTAATCCCATTTACCCATATCAACCACCACAATCCCAACTCACATATCACATAATTCTAAACCCTACCAAACACCCATACTCATACTCAAATTACACCCCTCCTTCAAATATCAATTCCTAACAACCCTCTTCACATTACCCTACTCTCCATCCACCAAATACACCCCCCCACCAACCAACCAACTACCCAACTTTACCAAACCCACCTAAATACACAATCTTTAATTCCTATCACATCAACAAACTACACCTCATATTAAAACCACTTATCCTCCTCTTTCACATTTCAATCAAACCTTCCATAAACCCTCAACATCCCACCCCCACCCAAACCTAACAAACCCCCTAATCAATAACATCACAATAACCCAACCCAATCCATTATCTTTACACCACCCACCATAATAATACCCCCATACCAACACCCCCTATCACAATAACCACACATACTCTATCACTATAAACCAAATAGAATAATCAAATATCTCTCTCCTAATTAAACACTCTCCAAATCCTACCATCATCCCCATAACATTCCAAAAATATCTAAACCCTCCTTCAAAAAATACTACACACCACAAACACTACAAACTTAAATTACTTCCTCCACTAAAAATCCCCACCATAAATTCCATATCACCCCACCTTCCAAAATCAACTCAACACCCCATAAAACCAAATCAAACCATCCCCCACCATTCAACCCCCACACTCTCCAATCAAACCCCCAATATACCAATAAAAACCCCTAATCTCACAACACCCACTATCTAAAACAAAACCACCCCCCAATTCCCCCACCACTCAATCAAACAACCATAAAATCTTATCACTACCCATTCAATTCCTTTCACTCACCTAAATTCACCTCCACTACCAACTCCCACTTAACCAACCTCCCCATTCCCTAACAATAACCCCCCCTCCAACCACACCAAACCACATTCAAACCCCTTCCCCCCTCTCCCCAACCCCCACAACCAACATCACCCCAAAAACTACCCATCTCCCAACCACCTACAAACCCAACCAAAACCCCATCCTCTCCCCCCAAAATATAAACCCATCTATACTATTCCTCCACACCAAACAAACATAAACCCTAACCCTATCTCCCACTCCCCCCACCATCCCAAATTAACCTCTCCCACATCCCCATTCCCACAAAAACCTCCCCCTCCTATACTAATCCCCATCACTCATAAATAACCCCCCACCTACCCATCCAACACTTTCAAACCCAAAAACCAAAAAATCCTCTCACTCCCCAATCTAATACCCACCCCCCCAAATTTTTCCCCCTTTCCCCCATCTTCACCCCTCCTCCCCAACCCACACTCCTACCACCCTTTAACTTTTCCCCCTCTACATACCCTCAACACACCTCCAATTCCACTCCCCCCCTAATACCCCCCCACCCCCTTTCCCTTCAAACCCCTTCCCTTCCATAACCTCTACACCCCCCTCAATACCCCTACCCTTCCCTCCCCCCCCCCATACAATATACCCCCACCACACACACAACACCCACACCCACCCTCTACAACATATAAAATTCACTCAATTCCCAACCCCCTTCCTCAATTCAACCACACAACCCCAAAATCACCCTACCAACCTTCTTACCTCCCACACCCATTTCCCTTACAAATAAACCACCACCCCACTATCTTATCAATTACCCCCCCAACACCCCCACCACTCTCCAAAATAAATTAAAAAATCTAACTCTACCACCAACCCAATCATCCACTATAAATCACTCACCCTAACACAACCCAACACCCCTTCCCTTACCCACCACACACAACACAAACCCCCCTTAAACACCCACATATACCTCCACCCTTCATATCAAACTACACACCATACTAACCACACACACCCTCACAATCATCCAATCACCCCCCCACCCAAACCACAACATTACCCCCCCCATCCTTTCCAACCCCCCATCCACCCAATCCTCCTCCCCATTATCCAATACCCTCAAATCTACTCCCACATTCAAACCAAAACCACCCATACCTCACAACATTCCCTCACAACATCCAATCAAAATACCAAAACAAAACAACCATCCACATAAATCACCCTTAAATCCCCCCACATCCTCCAACAAAACCCCCACAACACCCCCACTTTCCCTTTCACTACACACCTCCCCAAAATAACTCCTACCCCACCACCCCCCCAATCAATCCCCAATAAACCCAACACCTACACCCACCTATCTAATCTTATCCAACCCACTAAACAACCACACTACAACTCACACTAATAAACATAAAAAACTCAAATTCCACACCTCACTAATCCACTCCCCTCAAACCCAAACTCCAAACCCCCCCCACCCCCAACCATCATCCTCCTCCACCCCCCCA